ATTTGTTCACAAAATCTCTACCAACGTCAACCTTCAAGAAGCTAGTTTACAAGATCTGGATGCGAAGGCTCAAGGATGTGAATTGATGCTCTCATAAGGGGGAGGTTAATGCGCGTTGCACTCTTTTCTCTTACAAGGTTTGTCCCACTAGGTTTCCTTGCAAGGTTTTTAACGAGGCAACCAATAGGCGCATTTCTAAATATGTGTACTCTTTTTCCTTTTCTAGAATTTTTTCCCATTGGGTTTTCTTTTAGTTAAGGTTTTAACGAGGCACATTATCTGTTGAATAGACATTCAGGGGGAGTGCTATAAATAGAATTCTTTTTATGGTGAATGTCCATATTTAGAGAGATTCTAGGGTTTATTACTTGGTGGCTAAGTCAACCTCTCCCTATAAATAGAGGGTTCTATACTACTGTAATTCATCCCAAATTCAATAAGAATTTCCTCTCTCTTTCTCTGCAACATTGCTCTTGTTCTTTTATTATTTTATAACACTAACTCTTTTCCTTTTTCTATAATTTTTCCCTTTCATTTTTTGGTAAAAGTGAGCATAAAAAAGGCAAATCATATTTTCTATAAATGTTACAGAATGACACAGTAGTCTTCTAGTAGAAAAGAAAAAGAAACAAAACTTAAGTCACATATATAAATTTCCTCTGTTTACAAAATTTTAAAAAACAGGGCAGCACGGTGCACAAGACATCTCGCGTTCACCAGGGTCCGGGGAAGGGCCGGCCGCGTTTACAAAATTATTGCAGATAATAAGAACCCTGATCTTTTAGCTGCTACTTGGCTCCTCTTCCTCTGTATTAGCTTCAACTTCCTCTGGTTCAGATGGAGTTTCCATCTTCTCAAACTTTGCTACCCGGAATATCGCCAAATTGGTGTCCCCTAAAAGAGAAAGTCGTCAAATTTGATACACGAGTTTAACTTCTATACATTGACCGTATAAATTTTCTTTTTAATCAATCAAGTCACCTAAAAGATAATTACAACCAATAATTCGTAATAAATAAGATTAGTAACCTGGAAACATAAGGAAGTTAACTTGCTACAATACGTTAAAATACACTGATAGCGTAAAAGTTCTTTATAATATAAGTTTCTTAACTTGTGATATCCCAACTTCCCCTAAATAGTCTCAAAATTCTTTTTTTCCTTTTGTCCTTTTTCTTTCCTTATTACTCATCAAATGAATTTTTGATGTTTCTCATATCTTCAAAGACAAGGTACATCAAACATTCCATTTGGTTAATGCTACATAGATACTCCATATCCACACAAGAGATTGGCCATTGACACATGTTTTTCTCTCAACAAGCTCACGTGGTCTAATGTCGGTCACGACGGAGGGCAGATAAAAGAGAAGGACTGACAAGCTTCCAAAGAAGAGGTGCGTATGACGCTTTAGACAAATCCCACATCAGAAAGTAAGAGAAAAGTGAAGTGTTATATAAGACAGAACATAAGTTCACAGAGTACGTCGATGTAGCATAGCCTAACGGACAAATGAGATCCGTTGGACCAAAGCAGACTATACATGCCATGAATTTGGTGGTGAGATAATATCTTCCAGACTTAATTAAGGCGGGTCAATCTTGTGGACTCTGGCTAATTAACCATATTCCGTGATTTAATTATACACGGACGAAATTATAACTCCGGTTTTAAGGGAAAGGAAAGCAGGATACTGAAAGTAAAATTAGGATTGATTACAGAAGCTGTACCAAATGTCAAGAGACTTCCAGGTAATGCAGCAGCAGCCACACCAGGTCTGAGCCTCTTCTCACCGATGAACGTGCCATTCGTGCTGTCTAAATCTGTCACTACAAGATACTCCTCCATGCTTTGTAGCAGAGCATGTACAGCAGATACTGTTTGTACATAAACAGATATTCAGCTACAGAAACGAAACTTTTTTTGGCGACCAACTTATACCTTGACTAAATGGTTATATTACATCGACAGTGCAAAAATTGTTTACACTGTCAGTGTACATAAGTAAAATCCTTCCTTAACACTACTCAAAAGGTGGAAAGACGAAGCATTTCGGTCGAGTTTAACTTCTATAAACTAACAGTGTAAAACCAATTATATCATCAGATCACCTAAAAGATAATTACAGGTAATTGTTCATAATAAGTGGAACTAGTTACTTGTAACATAAGGTTGGCGACCTTTTTCAATAGGTTAAATTACATAGAGCAAACATTACTTACATGGTCAATTTCCATAAGTAAAATTATTTCCGAAAACTGCTTTCATTACCTGTAGGCACCGGAATGACCATATCTGCCTTCTCAGCAAGACGTCCGACAGTAACTGCACCCTAAACCATGTTGCAGAATGTGCAATTAACATACATGCGCATACGTACGTTAAATGGTGAATTCAATGTTGCAAAAAGAATTATACATCATAATACTTACGGCCGAAGGTATTTCAAGAGAGCCCGGCTTTGCAGTTGGAGAACCGATGTGTCTTGCGTCTCCATCACCTTTTTCCAGCATTGTTGTATTCAATAATTGATAGTAAATCAAAAGTTCTAAACTAAAGGTTCCATGAATAGGTGATAAGATCACAAAATATGCTTAAACAGTGTTTAACCATATATAGAGATTACTATCTGCCAAGTCTAGCAAAATCATTCCGAAACCAATATGAAACTCACCCGAGCCCCTTGGGCCCCATACCAAACATCCACACAAGTATATATCCACCATATCTAGAGATTACTATACTCTGCAGCTTATAACACATTCATTATGAAAGAAGAAAGCAAGTAACACAAATTCAGGTCCTTGCTTTAAAGCATCAACTAGGAGCAGTACATACAGCATGTGGTTCAGGGGCGTACGCAAGATTTTTTATAAGCGGCGTCGATATTTATAGAAGAACGAAGAATAAATAACATTAATTATCACATTTCTAGATAATAAATAGTGTTAGTGCATTGATTTTGTTGAGGCTTAAGTTAGAAGAGGTTCTGAGTCCAATTCTACTTACCCACAATTTTTAACTAGAGGCTCTCTCAAATACTTGCCAAAAATATTTTCTAGTTGAGGTTTGAACCTACGAGCTCTTACGACAAAATAAGGCACTTAACCAGCGTGCTAGGCGATGATCTGTGTCTAAGTGGTGTCATTTTCTCTTGTTATTATTTTCGCACAGTATTAATACATATGTTTAGTAAAAATTTTCGACGAAGCGGTATCGCGTGACACTGCTTCATTCAATGTGCGTCCGTCCCTGATGTGATTCAGGGTGATGAAGTCAAGGACACAGGAACATCGAACTACAAGAGAAAATAGCGATATTAGTCTTTTGAGTTGTTACCTTGGTTTTATCCCTACATATTTTTTGACTGAGCATATTTACCCTTTAATTGAAGAGTTTAACTTCTATGCACTCTAGTATAGTTTTTTTACACCATCATATTAAAATGACCTACGATAACAGATAATTCTCTCTAATAAGCCTACTTGTAAATATCAAATATGGAGAATAAAGAAAATTACCAGCTATAACATGCACTCATAGTGTAAAAGCAATACTCTATCAGTGTATATAAGTTAAATCGTTAATTAAAAAGGTTTAAGAGTTTGGTCCCTGAAGTTTTCCTTATTTTTCTTTATAATGGTAGTTTTCTTCTGATACCTGCTACTTCCTACAAGCATAGGTACAAATAATTCTGTCCACCAAAATTTAGGCATAAAGGAGGAAATCACTTAATTTTTTTTTCTCTATGGGATTCTTTCATTTCCCTTTTTTTCATTCAACTAGAGGCAGATCTACCTTTTGGGTAGGGGGTCATTTGCCTCCGGTAACTTCGAAAAATATGTATGTATATATGTGTATATATTTTAAATGATAGGTACTTCCCTCCGTTTCAAAAAGATAGACACTACTTTCTTATTAGTCCGTTTCAAAAAGATTGATACTTTTCAATATTTTCTTAATAAGAACCATTTATAGGCACACAAATGCTATGGCATAGTTAAGACCACAAGTTCGAAAAGTTTTACAACCACACAAATATTATGGCTTATTTAAGACCACATATCTCAAAAGTCTTCCCTTCTTTATTAAAGTTTGTGACAAGTCAAACTAGGACAATTTTTTTTGAAACGGAGTAACTATGAGGGTGTTTGGACGAGCTTAAAAGCTGGTTTGCACTTTTTTATTTTTTGGACTGTTTGGTAACAAAAAAAAGATGCTTAAAAAAAGCTAAAAAGTGCTTAGAAAAGGCCAAAAGCAACAAGTTGGCTGACCCCAACTTTTTCGATTTTGGCTTAAAAGTCATTTTAGTTTGACCGATAAAATTACTCTCTTGTCCCTTATAAGTTTTTATAATACTTCCTTCACTCTGTCGTTCCTCTTCTTTCCTCTTCATCTCTGCTTCATCTTCATTTTTCTGCACTTTTCTTCAAGCAATTCAGTGGAAATCAACAAAACCATGCCCAGTTCAACACTTTCCATGTATATATCAAGATAATTGCTCCCATCAATTTCTCTGACGATATAGCTCAAAGGCTCATCCCTTTTTTCCTTAACGCCGTCAACAAAATGGGCACATAAACTTGAATGAAAAGAGTAGTGTTTATATATATTTTTGTTTTTTTAAGTTCCTATTTTTTCCTATACAAAATAATTTGGCATTTTAAATAGGATGAGACTTTATGGAAGTTTACTTGATTGAAAGTGGTGAAAAATGAGCATTCAAGAATTATATTTATAAAAATTATCTAAAGTAATCAATTAAACTGAAATTAAATTAAAATATAAATTATTTTTTATTTGTATTAATTCATAATTAAATATATTGTAGTAATCAGCTCCTTTGTAATTAACAATTTTAAGGATATTTTTGTCTTTTTAATAAGAAAAAGTGCTTACCAGCACTTGTTTGCCAAATACTTAACAGCTTTTTTTAAGCTTCAACACTTTTATCCAAACATGTCACTGCTTATTTATAAAATAAGCTCCAACACTTAAAAACCACTTTTTTTAAGTCAATCCAAACGGGCTCTATAAATTTTGACTGGCAACCTATAATTCAAATCTTAGGCAGTTGCATTGGTCATGGGCATAAATTGACTTTTAATGTGCTTCCTGGGTTCGATTTCGATTCTAGCATTTGCTCAAACTTTTTTATTCGACAGTAGTGCCCCGCCACTTTCAAATCCTGGGTCCGCCTCTATTCAAGTATTAGTCCACGCGAATTCCCATTAATTGTTTCCCATTTTACAATTCAGCACTAGCTCATGATCAGAAACTTCTATATACTCAAAAAAAAAAAAAAAAAAAAAACTACCACATACCTATAAATTCAAGAAGCCATGTAACAGAAACATTTGTTGAATTGCTCTCAGCCAAAGAAGCATAGATAGCTCCAAATTGCCTCAGTTGCCTTGCATTGCATTTTAGCTTTCTGGGTATGCAATTAAATCCAAGAATATTGATGGAATTGGAAGAACAAAGGGTAGCTCTAGAATGGAACAGAGATGATAGTTTTGGGAGATTAGCATAAGAAAGAGACTGTGAAATTGTAGTTAATTCCATCTGTTTTTTTAAACGGAATTTCCTGTCTTTTTTTGTTCACTCTTTATGATATTTATATATATGGTCTGTGGATAAAATTTCTATAGTCCAAAATGTGGTTGAGAACTTGGCTTCTATAAAATGATTATCTTGAGCTCTAAAGTGTCAAGTAATACTACTTTTTATTTATTTATATCTGCAGATAGTGTAACTGAAAGCTAACCACGGTTGTGCTAGACTGGTAAGTACCCGTTCATTCTTAACTTTAAAAGGTTATAGGTTGGAGCCCTATGTTAGGCGTGTCCTAATTTTTTTACCATATTTGGTTTTTCTATCTGTTGAAGGAAAGGGCAACATGTTTATCATAATTGGGTTTTCCTTCTTGTAGAAGGAAATTATAAATCTTCCGTATTTGGCTAGTCCTTTTTCTTGTAGGAAAAGATTTGGAGTTCTATAAATTGAGGATCCGCCCTTCTCATTTAGTAGCATCCACAATGTAGTCATATGGGTTTTGAGAGTCGTGTTTAAGGAGAGAACTTTAACGGGACAAAGTGTTAGTGTGTCACTTGTGTTTGCCTCTTCGTGAGATTGTTCTCTCGATATTTTGTACTCTCTTTTATATAGTGGATTGCTCATCTTCGCCGTGGACGTAGGTCAGGTGATTGGACCACGTTAAATGTTTGTGTCTCTTTTGGTATATTTTTCTTTTGTTGCCGGACTTATCGTCGTTAAAGGTTTGCTTTGCTAGATTCCACGTGACACCTAATTTTTTCGGTCCGAACACCCTGGTGTAGAATCACCTTTGTTAGAGAGTTCTTTACACACAAATGTGAAACTTTCCGATGCGTATTCAACTTAGTTGGCCTCAATGCGTATACCGGACACCGGATAAGAAACAGAAAAAAAAATGATGTAAGTAAACATATTATAGAAAGTCACCTACTTTATTTTCTCAGGTTATTCGTCTTACCTTTAATTAAATTTAGCATGGCTTAATAGTTTAACAATTTTTACAGTGTCGGTATCTGAAGTTTTTTTTTTTTTTTTTTTCGAATATTTCACTTATATATACTAATAAGGTAAAGAACTTTTAGACTATTGGTGTATATTATCATGTGAGGAGGAGAACCACAAACGCTCTGGGTAAGGAGGTGTGAGGGGTTGATATTGGAGGGCCTAAGGAGAGGTAGGCCGAAGAAGAATTGGAGAGAGGTGATTAGGCAAGACATGACGCAACTACAGCTGATCGAGAACATGACCTTTGATAGGAAGGTGTGGAGGTCGAGGATTAGGGTAGTACGTTAGGTAATCTAGATTGTTCATGTCGGTAGTACTAGTACGTGCTCTCGCATTCTGTTAGTATTAGGTTTCTATGACTAACTGTCGTTTCTTGCATTTCCGTCATTTTACTATCTTGTTGTTATTTATGCTGCTTTTACATGGCTTCTCGATGTTGTCCCTTTTTGTTTTTCTTTTCATTAATTTTTTTCATTAATGTGGTGCTTATGCTTTCTGAGCCGAGGGTCTATTGGAAACAGTCACTATCTCCACAAGGTAGGGGTAAGATCTGCGTACACACTACTCTTCTCAGATCCCACTATGTGGAATTATACTGGATATGTTGTTGTTGTTGTTGCTGTTGGTGTACATTATCATGTCGTGATAAGTGACCCACCTTATTTTTCAAGATTATCAATTTCACTTTTTATGGACGATTTACGTTTAAATTTCTGGCCTCCGGCCTCATCCGTGGAATTATACTAGGTATGTTGTTGTTGTTACGTTTAACTTTCTTGGTGCTAATAAAACCCAGAAAATTAATGGAATTGGAAGAAGAGTAGCTTTAGAAGGGAACAGAGCTGATAATTTTGGGAGATTAGAAGTGGAACGAGACTGAATTTGTAGTTAAATCCATCAATTTTTTTGAAGGATTCTTTATGCTTTTTGGTTCACTCTTTTGGACATTATACTTAAATATGGTCTGTGGATAAAATTGCTAGAGAGCAAAAATGTGGTTGAGGATTTGTCTTATATAAAAATATGTCATTTTGTTGGAAGACAAATAAAACAATTTTGTCACATAAAGAAAGTTAACATTTTTTTAGGGAAAATACATACGTACCCTTCAATTTATGATCGAAATTCCAACTATACATTTTTCTTTTTTGTGGGTCATGTTACCCACTTAATTATCTCAATATGAAATTATTACCTCCCTAAATGCTGAGGTGGCAAAGATAATGAGTTCACTCAATTAGAAGCATGTGAAGAACGAAAAATTAGATTAAAACAAACAAATATGTGCAACTGTTATTTTTAATTGAATATTACATTAATTATTTTTAATTAATTATCATTATCCCTTGAACTTTTTTTTTTTTTTCAAAAATCAAGTCACCCATCCAAGAACAGCACATCCTCTGTCGTAACCTTAAACACCCTTCTCCCAAGGCTCCCCCTACAAACCTAAGAAAAAATAAAAAGAAAAGAGAAAACAAAAAGAAATGAAAGAATAGAATACACACACAAACAAAAAAAAAAAAAAAAAAAAAAAAAAAAAAAAAAGAGAAAATGCTTGCCGACAAAATTATCGGAGAAAGAAACGAAAATGAGTTGGTGACGGAGGGAAGAAAAATTGTCGGAATTCACAGCTGTATGCATGATAAAGAAGAGAATGAAAAAGAAAAAGGAAAATATTTGGAACAGAATAAGAAAAAAATGAAAAAGTATAT